GAGACTAGAAGCGATGTGAGAACATAACGTCAGTCTTCACCGTTGAAAGAGCAGTAATGTTAAGAGAGGTGACTTACCGTTGTTGTTGTTGTTGTGGGTGGTGGAGCTGAGGAGAGCGAGCAAGAGAGTGTGAGGTGCAGCACCGCTGGAGGTTCTTAGCCCCGCGCGGGTCACCCCTCCTTTATATACTCTGTGATGCGACAGTTACCAGATGCTCCACGTTTCTCTGCACGCTTTAAAACAACAACAAAAATGAAGTTACAACATAAAAAGGGAAACAAAAACTCGTTTAACGTCTTGTATATACTTAGCATAGATAATTAAGGTGATACAAGGTTTATGGCCGAGTCACATGAAGTAAAATGGGGCACATCAAATTTTGTAGTAGTTTTGTGAAGGGTGAGCGTTGGCAGGCTGATGAGTGACGTCAGAGTGTGGGAGTGACCTCAGCCTGGCAGCAGTGCCATTAACACAGTACAATATACACCAAGATTCCCACCCACCTCAACACAGGTGACAAAGGCACCTCTGCTGCCCATCTACCAACTCAATTGCTCTGAATACACCATGAAAATATAAATATTTCAATATATATATATATATATATATATATATATATTATATATATATATATATATATATATATATATATATTATATGTGTGTATACGTATGTACATAAGTACAAACACACATACACACACACGAAGAGGCGGGGCCAGAAGCTATGAATCGACCCCTATAGCCACAACTGAGTACAGCTAGATGAGTACAATCACCGAGGCCAGGAGCTGTGATCTGACACCTACAACCACATATAGATGAGTACATAAAGCTATAGTAGCAGTGGTTTATAACTCTACCGAACAAGACTGAGGCAGGAATATGATGATGACAACAGTGTCGGAGAGAGTAGGTAAGATCAAAGACAATGAATATTGGACTGGGAGAACTGGGGCCCACATGGAGGGCCAGAAACATGGAAATCAAATTTTTTGGAGGCAGCAACGGAAAATTTCATGACTCAACATGTTGAAGAAGCCACAAGAGTGAGAGCAGGGACGAACCAGCTCGATTAGATTTGGTTTTCACCTTAAGTGAATCGGACATAAATTAAATTGAATATGGGCTACCACCAGGAGCTAGTGACCACGTAATGCTCACCTCTGGATATTTGGTAGAGGCGGGATTAGGGAAAAGAGGATGTACAAATAATGAACCAGCTTACAGAATAAGGGACTATGCTGGATGACAGTTTTTTTCTAAATATAATCCAGTAGGACAGGGAACTGACTGCAAGAGACAATGGATGATGATAGGTCTGACCAGAAAGTGACTGGAGACAACGAGGATTGCACCTTACAGGAGGTGTGAGAAGTCAAGACACAGAGAGAACACTTAGTTTAATCAAAACTACGGGGAAAACAAAAGTGAAAAAGCATGGAAAAATTACAGAACACAGATGACGGCAGAGAATAAAGACGTAAGCAGAATAGTGAGGCGCGAATAAGCAAGGATAAGAGAAGAAACCGAACATCAGGTAGGGAATGACATAGCAGCAATAATAATAATAATCTTAATTTCTACAAGTACCTGTGCAAGGTATACAGTCTTAACTGACATCAATGACATACTACTATGTAGAAAGGCGCTTGTTATGCAGAGCGTTTCGGGCAAATTAGATCAATTTTGCCCCCAGGATGTAACCACACATGAGTCGACTAACACCCAGGTACCTATTTTACTGATAAGTAAACATGGACAGCAAGTGTCTTAAGGAAACGCGTTCTAATTTTTTCACTCGTACCATGGATCGAACCACGGACCTCAGTGTGTGAGCTGAGTGAGCCAGCAATCGAGCTACAGGACACAAAGACCATATTAGAGATAAAACTACTAAGTAGTCACATAAGGAGGAAGATGACTGCAAAAAGCCAAGCAATAAGCCTGAAGATGGAGGGAGGGAATTCACAGAAGACAGTAGAGAAATTCGCGCATGATTAAGTAGAAGATTTAAGGAAGCATTTGCTGCAGAAGCAAGGCTAGTGCCGGAATGCAGGGTTGACAGGGCTACTCTGCATATATTGGGAAGAATTTATGTATAATAGGAGGAAAAAATGAATCTACTTAAAGAATTAGATACTTCAAAAGCCATAGGGCCTGACGGTATATTAACTTGGATACTAAAAAGGGGTTCAAGAACTGTGTGAACCTCTAACGATGATCTACAAGCATGCTCTTGGTGATGGTAAATGTACCAGACAGCTGAAAACCCGCAAACATGATCTGTATACATATATACATATATACATATATACATATATACATATATACATACAATATACAAGCAAGGAACTGACAAGAAGCATTGAACTATAAGCCATTATTACTGACATTTATACCACCCAAAGCATTGGAAAAGATAACAAGAAAAAGAGTGGTTGAGCATCTAGAGGTGAAACTTTCTTACAGAGAACCTCCCTCTTTCACTCCTTTCCCATCCAACAAACACTCCTTTACTCCTACAACACCCAGTCACTACTCCATTTACAAAATACTTCCCTCACGCCTTCCAACACCTCCATCCATTAATTCTGATGAGGACACTAGAGCGCTAGACTGATTCACAAATTAGAGGAGTATGAAGGGATCACGGAATATGTAACTAATAAAAGACAGAGGGTAATGGTAAGGACAGTGTTTCAGGATGGGAAAATGTGACAAGTGGGGCTACCCAAGGATCAGTTCTAGGGCTTTTGTTATTCCTAATATATGTAAATGACTCAGCAGAGAGATTAACTCATTGTTTCATTGTTTGCTGATGCAGTAAATTAATAAGAATATTAAGTGAAAATAGAGACAGCCTACATGTGATCAGGACAAATTGCAAAATTGACAAACAAACAGTTACCGGAGTTTAAGTGCAGGTCATGATCACTGGGAATGAATATGATAAAGGTCTTGGAGTGAACATCACACCCAACATATTGCCAGAGGTGTGTATAAATCAAATAGCAGCAAATGTGAGCATAGCTAATATCAGAATTGCCTTAAGAAATTTTAACAGAGTCTTTTAGGTCTGCCACACGAGGGTATGTTAAGCCTTTCATGGAGTTTGCAGCAAAAACGTCACCTGAGTCATCACCTGAGTCATCACCTGAGTCATCACCTGAGTCATCACCTGAGTCATCACCTGAGTCATCACCTGAGTCATCACCTGAGTCATCACCTGAGTTATCACCTGAGCAAGGCATATAATATAACAAAAACTAGAAAAAGTGCAAAAGTTTGCAACAAGATTTGTCCCGGAGCTGAAGGGCTTGAGTTATACAAAGAGACTAAAGGAACTGAACCTGATGACTTTAGAAAGATTATTATAATTATAATTATGAGGGAGCACTAAACCCGTAGAATTACACAGCACATGTGGGGGGGGGGGGATGGAAGGTATTCAGGCTCAATTCAGGGAACTGGAGCACAGATCCAATTCCCTAGATCAAGAGCCATCACCAGCGTAAGGAACCTCCCTTGAGGGGACTTTAGAAAGAGCGATAAAGGGAGACATGATTACGACATACAAAACACTCGGAGGCCTTCAGAAGTGGAGGTTTGTGTCAGGTTAAAGAAAAAAATATAATTTTTCTAAAAAAAATCTGCTTTGTTTTGTTTCATGTTTCAAAATAAAGTGCATAATTTAAGGAATATTTTGATGTTAAATTTTCCATGAACTATTTTCTGAGTTTTTCGTAAATTGTAAGTTTCACTGGAATAAAATTTTGTATCAGAATATATTAATATAATTTATGTTGTTTTGGTGTTTTATGTATAGTTCTGACATTATTATTTTCTTTATTCTAATGTATGAAAATTATTATTAATACAACTGTTAGAGGTAAAAAATGAACAGATAGAAGAAAAATTACAGACATTTGAAGACACAAAACAATATTTGCTTATCCGCCATTGTCTGGGAAGTAAGTTATTTGCTTACTATGTCGACCTTTATTATTTATTGAAGAATCATGAAAAAATCTTTCTGGTATTGTAAGAGTTGTTGCTTTTTAATACCATATTCACACTTTTATCAAATTCACTCTTAAGTTTTTTATTTTATTGTTTTTATTAAAGATTTTGAAAAAATAAAATTCTAAATTTTCAAATTAAAAAAATTACAAGACGATGCATTTTCATACCTTTAATAACATGAAAAATTCCAGTAACTTATTATTTAATGATGTACTTTCATCTGCACACTTTTCTGTCTTATTTTCCAGTAGCCTTTAGCGAGTGTTGTCAGCAGAAACACTTTTTCTTCTCGATATTGTCATCATGACAACTTACAATTGTCATATTCTCACAAAAAAACTTTCAGGTAAAATAATAAATCGGACAATAAATGAAAGAGCAACAGCAGGAACAGGACCAAACTCCATAAAAGTCCTCAAGGTGAAAAGAAACTATCATTCTCCATGTTTACTGCGTCAAAACAAAAGTGTGTATAAGCGTCCCAAACTCATCTTTTTTTTTTGGGGGGGGGGCATGGCATACGAGGGGAGGGTTGACGTAACACGACTGTAAATACCATCACTATTTTGCTACTCTCTCTGGTAGTCTTGGACTCCTTTAGTGCTTTACAAGCTATCAAAAATTTTAATTCACCTCATCCCCTAGTTCTTCGTATACAATTTTGGTTGCACTGCTTTTCTACAAAGAAATCATTTTCTGCTGTGTCCCTGGTCATGTTGATGTTCAGGGTAACGAGCAGGAAGACTCTGCTGTGTCCCTGGCCATGTTGATGCTCAGGATAGCGAGCAGGCAGACTGCTGTGCGGTCTGCAGTACATGACCTCCCAGTTTCATATATGGGTATTCCATTATAATACTATTTTGCTGTAATCTCTAACTACCTTCGCAACAGCCGGCAACAACGTTGGTCTGATATGACTCATAACAAATTATATCGTATCAAACGAAGTCTAGGTTTCTGGCCTTCTCATCATCGATGCCAAAGTTGGGAGACTACGATTTCCCATCTTCACATCGGGCACACTCGTCTTACTATAGGCACATCATGGAGAAACCCCAGTTCCACTCTGTACAAATTGTAAGGTTCCAGTTTCAGCTTGCCATATTCTATTAGAGATAAATTCTGCGGGCACGCAGAATTTACCTCCGACGTCGTCACCACTCTAACACCCTTTACTTTATCTTCCCTCCTCGCTGACGGCCCCACCTGTGATACAAACTCCCTGTTTGACTTTTTAATGCAAC